ATGGCATGAACTACCATGAAAGCAGATTTGAATGCCCACTATTGATCTCCGAGACCCCAGTAAAGGTTCGAGTGGAGACACTTCTGCAAAAGTGATCACAGGTTTATTATAGTACTGACCTGCCAGGCATTCAAACTACAATATTATAATGCCTGGCATCAGTGCTACAGATTTACTGGCTGATATTATGCAGCATAAAATCACTCAGTTACATGGCATAGAGTACACTGACAGCATCTTCTCTCTCATTCACTGTGCTGTTAGCCAGTGGTGTATCCTGGTTTTGTGCTGCCCTAGGCATCACAAAACTCAAGCAGGCCCCCCCCCCACCTTCTAAATACACATACACACTCAGACATGCATACACTCTCACTAACAGACAGACACACTAACACACTCTTTAACAGACACACACTCACTAACAGACACACACACTAACACACTCTCTAACAGACAGACACACACTCACTAACAGACACACACTCACTAACAGACACACACACTAACACACTCTCTAATAGACACACACACAGTAATACACTCACTAACAGACACACACACTCTCTAACAGACACACATACACACACACACTAACACACAAACACTAAAACACAATTTAAAAAAATATATATTTTAAATTCAATCCCCCCAGCCTCCCTACCTTTGGGAAGGCTATAGGTGGATTCTCATTTTCCCTGAGGTCAAGTGGGGCTGCTGGGCGGCCGGCTGGTGAGTGCCGCGTAGTGATGCCGGCGCCGGAATGACAGGAGGATTAGTGCTCCCTCTCCACCCGCCCGTAAAGCTCCGCCGCTGCCAGCCTGGGGGGCCCTGAGGTGGCCACCAGGCCAGCTCTTGGGTCCCCCAGGACAGGAAGCTGGCAAGGCATTTGCCAGGGCGATTGGGGGTCGGCTTTTTTTGCCGCCCCACAGAAAGTGATGCCCAAGGCAAATGCCTTGTTTGTCTCGGGGGAAATACGCCCCTGCTGTTAGTGGTGTCAGTCTCAGACATACAGCGTTATACAATCTGGAAGTTACTGCGTCAGTCTCAGACATCGTGCTATACAATCTATACGTTACTGTGTCAGTCTCAGACATACAGCGTTATACAATCTATACGTTACTGTGTCAGTCTCAGACATCATGTTATACAATCTATACGTTACTGTGTCAGTCTCAGAAATACAGTGTTATACAATCTATACATTTCTGTGTCAGTCTCAGACATACAGCGTTATACAATCCATACGTTACTGTCAGTCTCAGATATACAGCGTTATACAATCTATATGTTACTGTGTCAGTCTCAGACATACAGTGTTATACAATCTATACGTTACTGTGTCAGTTTCAGACATAAAGCGTTATACAATCTATACCTTACTGCGTCAGTCTCAGACATACAGCATTATACAATCTATACGTTACTGTGTCAGTCTCAGACATACAGCGTTATACAATCTATACCTTACTGCGTCAGTCTCAGACATACAGCGTTATACAATCTATATGTTACTGTGTCAGTCTCAGACATACAGCGTTATACAATCATATCTCACCACAGCCGTTAATACATATAATGAAACGCTGTATGGCTATAAGGATGTATTGTACGCAGCGTCGTTGTATCTTGCTGCAGCCGTTAATACATATAATGAAACGCTGTATGGCTATAAAGGTGTATTGTATGCAGCGTTGTTATATTTTGCCGCCGCCGTTAATACATATAATGAAACGCTGTATGGTTATAAAGGTGTATTGTACGCAGCGTCATTGTATCTTGCCGCCGCCGTTAATACATATAATAAAACGCTGTATGGCTATAAAGGTGTATTGTACGCAACGTCGTTGTATCTTGCCGCCGCCGTTATTACATATTATGAAACGCTGTATGGCTATAAAGTTGTATTGTACGCAGCGTCGTTGTATCTTGCTGCCGCCGTTAATTCATATAATGAAATGCTGTATGGCTATAAAGGTGTATTGTACGCAACGTCGTTGTATCTTGCCGCCGCCGCCGTTAATACATATAATGAAACGCTGTTTGATTATAAAGGTGTATTGTACGCAGCGTCGTTGTATCTTGCCTCCGCCGTTAATACATATAATAAAACGCTGTATGGCTATAAAGGTGTATTGTACGCAGCGTCGTTGTATCTTGCCGCCACCGTTAATACATATAATGAAAGGCTGTATGGCTATAAAGGTGTATTGTAAGCAGCATCGTTGTATCTTGCCGCCGCCGTTAATACGTATAATGAAACGCTGTATGGTTATAAAGGTGTATTGTACGCAGCGTCGTCATATCTTACGCAGCCGTTAATACATATAATGAAAGGCTGTATGGCTATGAAGGTGTATTGTACGCAGCGTCGTTGTATCTTGCCTCCGCCGTTAATACATGTGATGAAACGCTGTATGGCTATAAAGGTGTATTGTAAGCAGCGTTGTTGTATCTTGCCGCCGCCGTTAATACATATAATGAAACGCTGTATGGCTATAAAGGTGTATTGTAAGCAACGTTGTTGTATCTTGCCGCCGCCGTTAATACATATAATGAAACGCTGTATGGCTATAAAGGTGTATTGTACGCAGCTGTAGCGTTACTCACCTTCTCCAGGGGCCGGCCGCGGTCCTCTCTTCAAGCCGCGCGCGGTCATGCTGCTGCACGAGCCGCGCGCGGCTCATCCGACAGCTCCACTAGCAAGGCGGGCAGTGACCGCGAGAAGCGGTCACGTGTCCCACCTGAATCTAAGAGCGCGCCGCGAGTCCAAAGCTGAAAGGAATTATGATGTGGGTAATCGTGAACTCCTTGCTATTATCTTAGCCCTTAAAGAATGGAGACATCTGTTAGAAGGAACTAAGGATCCTATTCTAATTTTTACTGATCACGAGAATCTATCCTACCTTGGTGAAGCTAAAAGATTATCTTCTAGACAGGCCAGATGGTCACTATTATTGTCCCGTTTCAATTATATTATCACCTATAGGCCAGGTGATCGCAACATTAAAGCAGATGCTCTGCCCAGACAGTTCGAAACTACTGACAAACAAGAGGTTGACGTTACTCCTGTCATTCCCCCAGACAGGATAATAGCCACTACTATGTTGTCTATTTCTTCATCCCTCTTGCAGACCATACAGGCAAAACAAAGTATGGCACCTAGCGAGAGGCCTATTGATAAATTGTTTGTTGATGTTCCCGAGAGACGGGAGATTCTGTCATTATATCATGATACTAAGACTGCTGGACATCCTGGTATTACCAAAACGATGTCAGCCGTTTCTCAATATTTTTGGTGGGGTTCCTTACGTAAGGATGTCACTGACTATATAAGTGCTTGTACTACTTGTGCATGTATGAAAACGTCGCGTAGAGTTCCTTGTGGGCTTCTGCATCCCTTACCAGTTCCCAAGAGACCTTGGTCTAACCTATCCATGGATTTTATTGTTGAATTACCCCCTTCGAATGGTAACACAGTCATCCTGATGATAGTAGATCGGTTTTCCAAGATGGCTCGCTTTGTGTCTCTTAGCAAGTTGCCCACATCCAAGGAACTGGCTCTTATCTTCTCTAGAGAAGTATTTCGGTTACATGGTATTCCTGTATCTATTGTGTCCGATAGGGGTAGCCAATTTATTTCCAGGTTCTGGAAAGCCTTTTGCTCAGAAATGGGTATTTCGCTCTCATTTTCTTCCGCTTACCATCCCCAGTCTAATGGAGCTGCTGAACGTGCCAACCAGTCTCTGGAGCAGTACCTTCGTTGTTTTGTGTCTCACCATCAGGACAATTGGTCTGACCTACTTCCTTGGGCTGAGTTTGCTCGAAATAATGCCACTCATGATTCTTCCGGCAAAAGCCCTTTTTACGTTGTCTATGGCCAGCATCCCGTTGTTCTTCCGGCTGCATTCTCCTCACAGGGCATGCCAGTTCTGGATGAGCATTTGGCTGGTTTGCGTAATACTTGGGAGCAGGTTCAGCGTTCTTTGGTGGATTCCGCTGCTCGCCAGAAGGCTCAGGCTGACAAGCATCGCAGGGCGGCTCCTACTTATGTTGTGGGGACAGGGTTTTGCTTTCCACGCGGAATATTCGCCTGCGGGTGCCTTCTATGAAATTGGCTCCCCGCTTCATAGGTCCTTATCGTATACTGCATAAGGTTAATCCTGTTTCATACGCCTTGGGTCTTCCTAGGAATCTGCGTATTCCTAATGTGTTTCACACTTCATTGTTAAAACCTTACGTACGCAACCGCTATACCCGGCATTCTCCGCCTCCCCCTCCTGTCTCCGTGGAGGGCCATGAGGAATTCGAAGTCTCTGCTGTTCTTGACTCTCGTTACCTTAGGGGTCGACTTCAGTACTTGGTGCATTGGAAGGGTTATGGGCCTGAGGAGCGCAGTTGGATTTCAGCTGATGCTGTTCACGCTCCCCGCCTTGTGCGTTCTTACCATTCTCGTTTTCCGGCCAGGCCTGGCCCTACCCGCCCGGAGGGCGTGTCCTCGGGGAGGGGTACTGTAGCGTTACTCACCTTCTCCAGGGGCCGGCCGCGGTCCTCTCTTCAAGCCGCGCGCGGTCATGCTGCTGCACGAGCCGCGCGCGGCTCATCCGACGGCTCCACTAGCAAGGCGGGCAGTGACCGCGAGAAGCGGTCACGTGTCCCGCCTGAATCTAAGAGCGCGCCGCGAGTCTCGGGCGCGCTCTTAAAGAGACAGTGGGAGCCTAAATTGTCAAAAGGCTCCCATTGGCCCCTGTCATACCACACTCCCCATACACTTACCTTTTGGGGGGGTGGATATGACAGGAGCCAATCAAATTAGTTTTGAAGCTATTTAAACTTACCTCCCCCTCTACTCCCTGCCCTATCGTGGTTTCTGTATCAGTTCCCTTTAGCGCTTGTTGTGTTCAGTTGTTTTTTTCCGTATTGACCTTGGCTTTGTTTCTGACTACGTTTCCTCTTTATCCTTATCTGTTCTGTTTGCCGGCTTGCTGTTTACTGTGTACCAGACCCCGGCTTGTCCTAGTTTACGCTGTCTCTCTGTGCCCTTGATTTCGGATCATTCCTGACTCTGTCTCCTCTCATATACGTCGAGTCCGGCCATTCTAAGGTCCGGTAGACGTATCTCTCCTCTGTGTTGTCGTCTGTTTAGCTGAATCCTGCGTGTTGGGGTATATTCTCGTTACAGCAGCGTCGTTGTATCTTACCGCCGCCGTTAATACATATAATGAAATGCTGTATGGCTATAAAGATGTATTGTACGCAGCGTCGTTGTATCTTGCCGCCGCCATTAATACATATAATGAAACGCTGTATGGCTATAAAGGTGTATTGTACGTAGCGTCGTCATATCTTACGCAGCCGTTAATACATATAATGAAACGCTGTATGGCTATAAGGGTGCATTGTACGCAGCGTCGTTGTATCTTGCCGCCGCCGTTAATACATGTGATGAAGTGTTGGTGCACGCTGAGCTCTACATGCTGCAGGTATCGAGCTCAGAATGCTCAGTTCGATCTTTAAGGGAGCGCGGACACAGTCAGCCAGGAGAGCAGAGCGCACTGTCTGGCTATAGCACTAACAGGCTTTATTTTAACTCTTCACAATAACCTGGAACATACATTATTGTGTTGACAGACTTGTGTTGCATATCCCCCCTTTCCAAGCTGTATTTCCATTCAATCAGAACAATAACACTGTCTTCCTTTTGTTTTCATTTGCAGCGATACCCACGTGACCTGACCTCTAAGCGTCCTTCATAAGGTGCTAGAGGCAGAATTTACAATCAGTAATGTACACACAAGATCAATGCGTCAATAAATACACAGCGCTGACAGTGTGCGTACACTGCTCCTTGCTGCCACCTCTGGGTCACAGGAAGAACTGCAGTGAATGGTTACATGGGACATAATGAAAATTTAACCCCTTAAGGACTGGACTGTTTTTGCGATGTTGTACATTTGCGACCAGGCATATTTTTACACTTTTGTGGTGTTTGTGTTTGGCTGTAATTTTCCGCTTTCTCATTTACTGTTCCCATACAAATTATATATTGTTTTTTTCAGGACAAAAAGGGGCTTTCTTTACATACCATTATTTATATAATCTCATGTATTTTAATTTTAAAAAAATACAAAAATCTGATGAAAAATTGAAAAAATACATGTTTTTTGACTTTTACTTGAAAAATCTTTTACTCATCTACAAAAGCAAATGAAAAAAACTGCTAAATAGATTCAAAATTTTGTCCTGAGTTTAAAAATACCTAGTGTTTACGTGCTTTTTTGCTTTTTTTTGCATGTTATAGGGCTATAGGTACAAGTAGGATATTGCGGTTTAAAAACATACATTTTAAAAATTTATCAATAGTGACATTGTAACACTATTATCTGTCATAAATCTCTGAATAACACCCACATGTACATATTTTTTTTAAAGTAGACAACCCAGGGTATTCAATATGGGGTATGTCCAGTCTTTTTTAGTAGCCACTTAGTCGAAAACACTGGCCAAAGTAAGCATTCATATTTGTTTGTGTGTGAAAAAAGTAAAAAAACTAAATTGAGCGCTAATTTTGGCCAGTGTTTGTGACCAAGTGGTTACTAAAAAAGACTGGACATACCCCATTTGCAATACCTTGGGTTGTCTTCTTTGCAAATGGTATGCCATCATGGGGGTAATTCTCATTCCTGGGCTACCATATGCTCTCAAAGGCAACGTAACCAACCTGGCCATTTTCAATGTAAAATATTTGACCCATATATTTGACCTTGTAACTTTCAAAAATGCTATAAAACCTGTACATGGGGGGTACTGTTTTACTCGGGAGACATCGCTGAACACAAATATTAGTGTTTAAAAACTGGAAAACGTATCACAACAATTATATCATCAGTAAAAGTGCTGTTTGTGTGTGAAAAATGCAAAAAAGTAACTTTCACTGACAATATCATCGCTGTGATATGTTTTACTGTTTTGAATCACTAATATTTGTGTTCAACGAAGTCTCCCGAGTAAAACAGTACCCCCCATGTACAGGTTTTAGGGTGTCGTAGAACGTTACAGGGTAAAATACAGTGCTAGCAAATTAAATTCTCTGGAATTTCGGCCTGGGTTGGAAGGCAGGTCCCTCAAATTGCAATCAATAAAATTACTGAATTATGTAAAAATATTACATAAATACGCACGTAGAATTTAAATATATATGCATATTTATATATTT